GAGCTGCACTATGCCCTGTTAGCTTGCACCTCTCTGTCCTATGCTCTCAGGTGTCTTACAGAACCCTACAGATAAAGGCATCATCAACATACAGTGGGAGACATAAACATCTCCACAAGTGATGGTGACAGAGAATTTTTACGGTAATTTTGTATAGCCTATCTAAGGTAGTCATGGCATGAGAGTGTTGGAATTTGGTTAGGCTGAGTCACACGAAACCATGATTTTCCCTCATCCTTATTTTCAACAGTTCCCAGTTAGACTTTGTAACAACTGGGGAGTGTTCAAGAAGCCCTGAACTTCAGTAAGAGCCTCAACGTCTGCTGACCTGGGTTCACCTGTCTGCTCTGAACTACAAAGGCTCCTTGCCTCTGGAACTGCACATGAGTTAGTGGAAGGACCACAGTGAAAGGAAGCACAACAGAACAGAATTACATGTATTCAAGTACCAGCCACAAACACAGCAGTCACTGAATGGTCATGTTGTAACAAGAGATAACTGTAAAACATTGAACAGACAAACCTCCTTTTCACTGCCACCTTTGCCTCTATGCTTCTGCGAATGCAAGGGCAAGGGAAAACTGGATACTTGGAAAAAGTGAAGCAAATAATATGAGGAATAGATCTGCCCCACAGGATCAGACTGGAAATAATTTCATTCCTCTTTCTGGCTGCAGCAGTAACCAGGAGAAAGAAGAAGCGAATGAGATACATATGTATCCTGTACACTTCGAGCTGTGTGGGACAGAAACTTTATGGGCCTCCAGCTAAATCCAAACTGCAATGGTTGATCATCACTCTGGAATCTGTCTGCCTTCAATTTCTCTAGTCCCTCTTCAAATGTATTTCTGTTGTTTGTCTTGAAAACCACTGTGGGAACATATTGTGCACTACATATTTTTTTAAGCCCTCTCTCCATTCCTGACACTGTTGTCAGATATCAGCTGTTCATAGGCTTCTATGTAAGCCAGTTCAGATGGTTTTGCTGCAAAGAAGTGGATGGGGATCAGCATTTCCAGATTACAGCTCTTATGCTCAGATAAGTGGAATGAATTATCCTTTGAATGTACTGTCTCCATCGCTTAAGTTAAGAAGACAGCTTAGACAATACGATCCTTCATATTAGGTGAAATGAATTCCAACAAATTCGTGTTGGCAGATTCACACAGGAGATCTGTGGTAGAGTGAAAAACCGGGCTTAGGTTTTTCATTCATCTTCTTTAGATCACTGTTAGAAGAGTTATCAACAACTTCACCTACCTTCAATTTCTAAATAATCCAAAGTCTCTACTTTTATTAGCCCAGCCACATAAAATGAAGATTGTGGTTATCCATAGTAGAACCCATTTGCACTGTAGACAATCTCATTATTATGCAAAAACTCTTGTAATCTAACTATATATTCAGGATGCCAAATCCTTTACTTACCACTACGCCTGTCTTGAAAAGGAGGTAATGGACTGTCTGTGTCACATCTGCAGCGTGCATTAGGTTGTGATAAGGATTTTTGTGTTTGCTGTAGCCAACCTCCAGAGCTTCCACAAAGGACACCAGGGCAGAAATGGGAATCTAAGTAAAACATCACAGAATTAAAGAAAAAAACCCAAAACAGCTTTAATGACTAGCATTCAGAGAGGAGTATTTTGATAAGAGGTTTCCAAAGAGCAGTTTTTACTTGACAAATAAACAAAACACTAAAACATCGAAACAGGCACTCGAGAGAAAGTGAATTCAGGTTACTACTTCAAACTGGTTTTTCCATTCATAATGACATTATAGGTGAATCACTCCCACACATAAACACACAGAAATAAGTATACTATGAAATGCTGTCTGGAAGACACATGGATTATGAAAAGTAGCAGTGACCACTTTATTGATTGTCCCTGGAGAAATATTTCTAAATAGGCTACAAGCAACTGTCTGTTGCCTTCACAACCCACTGGAATACTCTGCATTACTATTCGCATTCAAGATTTTCTAATGAAACACATCATATAGCAAGTCTGAGATACATTTATCAGACTTCTAGGTTTTCACAGCAAAATCCAGCCTGTCCATCCTATGGGATTGCCATGTTTTTCTGACTCCAAGAGTAACTGCAGACACCCAAAAAAATGCAATTGAGGGGATTTCTAGAGAGGAGACTAGGCAGATGCTGTCAGCTGTAATGTATGCAACCGGCAACATGGGCAACATGGGTTCTCCTGTTTCACTGTTTCCATATGTATTAGGGAGGAGGTTCGAGGATATACTGAAGCTTGAAACCATGACACCGTTGAGGCCTTAACAAAAACCAAGATTTATTACCAAGAGGGTGGCCAACAAAACGAACAAACCCAAAAGGGAGGAAGGAGGAGAGAAATAAGCCCCAGTTACCCAGCTGTTGCCCATAAAGGTATCTTACCGACCTAGCGTGCCTATAATTACCCATAGCAGAAGCGGTATCCTTGGAGAGTCAGTAAGTTCACAAAACTGGCATGTGTCCCCGCCAAAAGGCAACATTGTCCTTGATGTGAAGTTAACTCCCTCTCCAAGAAAGAACTATCTACTTTTATACAAGTAACTGAGTGACCACAACCTCCCAGGTGTGGCCAGCACCACCCAGCCAGAGGCCCTCAGTCCCACCTCCTGGTTATGTAAGTGCATCTCTTCTGTGCATGCATGAGAACTTCGGAAATCCCCTCACACACGGGCAGTATGTTTTGGGGGTCTTTCTTAATGGAGTCTGGGGGCGAGCCTTCCTCACTTCATCATCACTTTCTCCTCCAAATGCCCTTGAAGAGTCATTAACCAATCACAGAAGACCAATTAAAAGTTTATACAGAAGTTCTCCCTCCAAGGACAACTTCCCCGTTTATCAGTGCCTGTTTTCCCATAACTTGGCAGGGAAAGAGCAAAGCTTTCACAGGTGGCAGGGCCAAACACAGACCAAAAGTATCAGCATAAATTCACCCTGGTACACCATAGAGGAGCACTGCTGTTGTCCTCTTGAGTACATATAAGCAGAGGATGCAGCTCTGACCAGACACCTTCTTCAAAGATGTCTCACCAGACATGGGCAGTTTCTGAAGAAGTACAGGACCCAAAGACTTGTAAACTCTTTCCAGTCAAAGTGAGTGGGGACCCATGGGAATTGGAAATGTCAAAAGAGGAAGGGACAGCAGAGTATCTGCGCGAGGGGAATGGTCAAGATCTAGATGGCAATGTCTCTGCCATCCAAATTTAAGCCTGTTCAAAGTTGGAGGAAAAGATACATAACATTTGTATCTGCAAACCTCTGTAACAATTACAAAGTTAGGGTTGAAAGGGACTTTTAAAGATCATCTAGTCCACCTACCCCTGCAATGAGCAGAGGGACATCTTCAATTAGATCAGGTTTCTCAGAGTCCAATCTGACCTTGAATGCTTCCAGGGATGGGGCATCTACCACCTCTCTGGGTAACCTGTTCCAGTGTTTTACTACTTTCATCATAAAAAAAAATCTTCCTTATATCTAGTCTAAATCTACCCTCTTTTAGTTTAGAATCATTATCCCTTGTCCTGTTGCAACAGGCCCTGATAAAAAGTTATTCCCCATCTTTCTTATAGGTCCCTTTCAAGTACTAGAAGGTTGGAATGAACATTCATCAGAACCTTCTCTTCTCCAGATGAACAACCCCAACTCTCATAGCCTTTCTTCATAGGAAAGGTGCTCCAACCCTCTGATCATTTTTGTGGCCCTCCTCTGGAGTGGCTCCAACAGGTCCATGTCTTTCCTGTGCTGAGAACTCCAGACCCGGATGCAGTACTCCAGGTGGGGTCTCATGAGAGTGGAGGAGGGAGCAGAATCACTTGTTGCCCTAACTAATTGTAATGAATTTGAATTTGCATTCATGATCTCTTGTTCTCTTTTTGTGCCTGCATACTTGAGGGTCCTATGAAGCTCAGGAAAATGACACCATCATACTGAGAGGATCATATGCAGTATTTCCCATGGATGTCATGTGGAAGCCTGTTTGGAAGCCCATCTGCTTCACCATGTCCCATTGCAATTGAAAGTACTACTTAAATCACATCTGGTCTTGCTTATTGAGGAAAGTGCAGTGTTCACAAAATCTTCAAAGAGCACTAAAATTGCATTTCGAATGAAACAAAACAGGATGAGAGGGAAGTTGAACAAAATCCAGGATGGAAGAAGATAACCATCTTCTAACTACTGACCTTGAAACGGTTGATCAGATCATAGCGTGTGAGAAGTTCATAGAAAATGAATTTCAGTGCATGATCCCCACTGGCATCATTTAGTGCAAATACATCAAAGGACCACTTGTCAACATTCTGCAAGAGTGGGTAGAAAAGGCAATTAATATGGTCATCCCTTTTATCATGATAGTTCAATTTCTCTCACTTTCTCTCACAATCTACAAATTGAGAATTAGAGAAGTGATGTCAGCATATATTTTCTTTTTTATAAATTCTTCAATTCCATTTAACCAATGCAGAATCATCAGGATACTCACAGTATCAGTATACTCATCAGTATTGTATGACTTGCGTTTAGGAAGCTTCCATTAAGAACACGTATGCTGTTTGCTTATTCTAAACATGGCAATTCTCTACACTAGAATTTAATCACCAAAGGATGAATCCTAATAGATAAAAATTCTGGTGTGCTTTAGTACCTGAAACACTGAGATGGCCTATTGGGGCTGATTTTACCTCTCTCTGTCCTCTACTCACATGCTATGTCTATAAAAAAGAAAATAATTTTGAAGAAAAGAGGAATGATGAAGATTTTTTTTAATGATATTGAAGCCTCTGGATTTTGCTGTCCCTCTGGAGTTCTTATAACTCTGTATTGTGAGCAAAGCACTCCAATGCCTCATTAATGCTTAAAACAGAATAAGGTTATACGGTTTTTTGCAGTAAAACAAGAATACAGGCACCTGAGCTCATATTTTTATCACTTACTGTTCAATCACCCAAGATGATAACTAAGGACTATCTTGCTAGACCCAAAGAGCAACTTAATTGCTTCTGATTTTAATATTAATCCTGATTTGTGATTATTGCATCTTAACTTGCCCAAAGAACACAATCCTAATTTTCCTTATTTTTTTAAAAAGGTAATTGAGTCCAGTGGATTTTTCAAAAAAACTACAGTGCAGAAGAAAATCCTGGTAATATTACATTATGTGCTAACAATTATATAAAAACCCAAGCTTTATAACAGAAGAGTAAATACCTTATTACCGTCGGGAAAGTTCCAATCAGCTGTAAATGACATATTAATGCTGCAGGGTGGTCAGCATTAATATCAAGAGATTGAGGGGGGAAAGTTCACTTCCGAGCTCATAAAGCTAAAGTATAAGGTATAAACCTTCTTGCAGAAGGTCAAGTTCAAATATCAGCTTTTAGGGAAGGCTGTGGAAGCTGACAGCACTCATTATCTAGCAAGATGAAGCTCCTTGATCTCAGAATTGGATATTCCTGAAACTTTATGAAACTTTCTCTCCTCCCAGCAACAAAGAGGAAAGATGTAGATGGGAGTTATAGCTAATAGAATGATATACAGATCAACCATGTAGCTGCATCTGGCACAAGACCAGCCTTCAAGTCAAATGCAAAAGACATTTTAATCACTTTGTGGTTGGTCCACTATACATCAATATAGCTACTGGACTTCTGTTCTGAATGAGACCAACATATTTTGTTACCACCTCTTTCCAGCATGAGGTGATCCTTCCTACTTACATAGTGCTGATTACAGAGAGCTGAGTATACCTGTTGTGGCACTACAGTCCACAGAGAGGCTAATTAGTGAGTGACCATCAAGGATGCTCAATATTCAGCTCTTCTTTCACCTACCCCAGTAAATTACTTGCTTGTTGAGCAGCTGATATTAGAAGCCGTGCGGAGCTGAGAGATTGAATGCAGTGTCAAGCTTCTCCAGAGATGATTTGTGGCCCAAGTCACAGAAAAGCAATCATAAATTACAGTTTTTCAACACTTTCATTAGGCATCGTAGAGTAAAAACAACCAAGAGAGTAAAAAGTTCCACCAAGAAAAGAAGTTTTGAAGCCCTTGAACAATCTTAGAAAACGAGAAATAGAAATGAGAGAGCAAAATAATTCCCAAGGCAACCACTTGGACAATTTAAAGTGTTGGGGTTTTTTGGGGTTTTTTGTTTTGGGTTTTTTTTGGCATTTTTATTTTTTAATCACTTAATTCGGTCATTGAAGCAAATTGATTTAAAACTTGCATATATATAGTAATTTGCTTCTGGGTCATAAGACATTGAAAATAATGTGTCAACTGTGCTGAAAGTTAATTCACCGTAAGGCAATCTTATCTTGCCGAAATAAAAGGGGTTTGTTCCTTTATTGTATTTTCCCTGCAGATAATGTTGTAGTCTTGCAGCAGATAAAATTTACCAAACTGTGAAATTGCAGACTAGTACATCCGAACTTTGCAGACGCTGCTGAGCTCTTTGGGCTGGAAGTCAGCTTAAAGAAGACAGAAGTTCTCTATCAACCAGCACCTCAGGAAGTCTTCCATCATCCCCATATCACCATTGGCCAATCAGAGCTCAAATCAGTCCAGTAGTTTAATTACCTAGGTAGCCTCATCTCCTCGAATGGTAAGATTGATGGAGAGACAGACAACAGGTTAGCAAAGGCATATAGTGCTTTTGGAAAACTCCATAAAAGAGTATGGCATAATAAACACTTGAAGAAAAGTACCAAGATCAGTGTTTACAGAGCCATTGTGCTGTCTACTCTTTTATATGGTTCCGAATCATGGGTCATCTACCTCCACCACCTGTGACTCTTAGAACACTTCCATCCACACTGTCTCCGTACAATCCTAAACATCCACTGGTCAGATTATGTAACCAATACATCTCTTCTAGAACAGGCAGCAGTCACAAGTATTGAGGCCATGCTGCTGAGAACACAGCTGCGTTGGGCAGGGCACATCTCCAGGATGAAGGACCACCGCCTCCCTAAGATCCTGTTTTTTGGTGAACTTACCACTGGCTGCCGCAAGAGAGGAGCCCTGAAGAGAAGATACAAGGACTCCCTGAAACAACATCTCAGCCTTGGCCATATTGATCAACATAACTGGTCTACTCTGGCCTCCAATCGGGAGGTCTGGAGACACACCATCTATAACGCTGCTGTTTCCTTTGAGAACGCACGCAGGATCACTCTCGAGGAGAAAAGACAACGCAGAAAGAATCGTGCCTTGCAGAATATACCATCTAAGGAGTCTTTCTGCTGTGTCTTTTGCAATCGGACATGTCTATCTTGTATTGGCCTTATTAGCCACCAGCATGCTTGTAACAAATGTGGATAGAGCCTTTCCCAAATCTCCGTTTGCGAAGCCTAGCCATGATGATGACATCTGAACTGTTCTTCTGCATGAAATAATGGTGAATCACACAGATTATAAGTTTCACAGGAGAGCTGTTTAGATTTTACTGAGGGAGAAATCCTTGCTCTTATCAGTCAAGAAAAGTTTTGCTACGGACAATAATGATAGAAGCATTTTACTCCCAATCACTCTGGGGGGGGGAAATCTTCTTATCAGAAGCATGAAAGTGTCATAGATGGCCTATAGGCTTGCAGCAATACCAGTTACACTTTGAAACTTAGTGGATTTTATGACCTTAAAAAAATTTTAACACAGAAGTGATCCCTATACTGGGGAGAGATCTAAAAGCAGGGAGAACTTCACAGATGACTTGTGACAGAGGAAAAAACTTTTTCTTCTCCCTAAGGAGAGCAGGAGGAGCAAGGGAAACTTTCTGTTCTATACATGCTAGATTACTGGCCCTGTAGCCTCAGTGGAAGTGCATAAGATGCTCTTATGCCACATATGACAACTGCAGTGTAACAGAAAATAGATCCAAGACATAATACTACTCAGTCCTGTGTCCTGATTACTTGGCCACTGATCCACTGCTTTGGGGAACCTAGAGATGAAGACAAACGCTAATTGTTTTTAAATGCTCAGTTTCCTGGCTTTCTGTCTCTTCTTAACCTTGAAGACTTGTTGTATAAGTCAACAAGCAGTATTTCATTGTTTTACTAAAACTAATCCCAGTTTGCCACAAAGTTGTGATTCCACAGGTTTGTATTACTCAGTGCAGATGTCCTGTTGGCCACAGCAGCAAAAAGGAGAGCATGCAGTAAATCATCAGGTCATTTTACAGAGCACAATAAGCACTCAGGTAGTTGTAAGGTTTTTTTACTAGACCTTACTGGACCAAAGCAAGGAACAAAATACAACATTTTCAATGGAGGAGATGGGACTGAGAAATTTAAGATGAAATTTTTAAGACAGAAAACTTCACAGAATCACAGAATATACTGAGATGGAAGATACCCATAAGGATCATTGAGTCTTACTCTTAGCACGCACAGGACATCCCCAAGAGTCACTCCATGTGCCTGACAGCATTGTCCAAATAGTTCTTGAACTCTGGCAGGCTTAGGGACCCCACTTCCGTGGGGACCCTTTTCTGCCTTCTTCAAAATAAGTAACTCCCATTTCAACCACATCCACTACCAAAACCAAAGCCACCCAGGCAAAAATATGTTCTCAAAACAGTTTTGGAAAAAAATACATTCTAGAGTCCACAGTGGCCAAGTGGATGTTATTTCACTCTGAGCAAAATTAGTTTGCTGTTATTGATTTATTTTAACTTACTCTAGCATGATCAGTTCTCTGTATGACTCTTAATCATTTGAAAACATAGAAAAAGGAGAGGGATTCTGTAAGGTTTAAGTCAACTGAGACTAGCTGATGAATCTTCAACTGTCTTGTTATTGATGAGGAACTCGAGAGAAGAGGTGCCATTATAGATATGTTCCCTCATAAGTTGATTGGAGTGTAGTTGCAAAAGAACAAAGAATTTAGATTCCATTTGCAGGAGTGAGGCTAACACTTGTCAACCTGCAGTTGAAAAAAGGTGTGGGTGGATACCTTGATGCTGTATATGAAAGGCAAGTTTGATCGTCCCTCTTGCATTCAGAGGGACCTTTTGCAACACCTCCACATCTTTTGATGAGTTCTACTCTCCAAAATGAAAAGGATTTGGTACCCTAAGTGTAAGTCTTTCCAGTGTGGAGCAATGCAACAAGGTGTCTTCATGAGCTTTACACCGCGTATTGCCCCACTTTGTCACCTTTTTTCACCATTGCATGGCATGGTTGAAATGCACGCAATGTAATCTGCAAAGCTGTATAGGCAGCTGGTTGCTAACATTTGTTTGTAGTCTTGATAATTCCTGCCTAAGTCAAGAATTTTGCAATTGTCCCATGGATTGAACCTTTGGAGTTTTTTCAGACTAATTATGACTAATCATTTTTCCTCTGAAACCTCAAAACTCATAAAAGGCTCAATATTCATAAACTGATTGTCACCTTGAAGACCTGAAGCTGAACAACATGAGAAATTCCCTTCTCTCACAGCAATTGATCCTTTTCCTTCTCCACCTCTCTCCATCTGTATTTTCTTTCTTCCCTGTGGGATGTTGTGATTAATTCCCAAGTCCTAGAACAGAGTTGTAACCTTCACAACCTGAAAATGGCCACAGCCTTGAACTCTGTTCTTTCCTTTATTGAAAGGATATTCCCTTAGATCTCTTAAATGATTAATGTATGTGAACTAAACTAATGTCAGAGAGAAGGAAAGGCCAAGTACTAAGACTCCCTTATCAAGTCGAATATCACAGTGTTATCTTGATGGTTTGTATAGATCCCCTTTCAATATCTTTTTATTGGGATTACCTTTAGCACTCCAATTACAGCTGGTGGGTAGCTCAAGCCAACCATATTTGAAGTCCGTCTGTACATTCTACCAAGACAAAATAGATAAGGCAACACATAAATAGAATTAAACAAAATAAAGCAATCAACAAAAATCATAAAACGACAGACCATTACAGGAGACCTTATTTAGCCCAGGAAACCCTAACTGCAATTTGGTCTTTTTTTTTTTTTCCTTCCATCTTGTTCCTAACTTGCACAATATTCTCTACACTATTCTTATTGTATAGCCTAATTTGAGCCTATACACTCATCATTATCTCATAGCTTGTCTGCCCAGCAGGCCATGACAAAGAATTTGCCAATACAAGGTCTTCATCAGAGGGAAAGGCTACACTCAAATAACAAGATGTTCCCAATTTTCCATTGCACATGTCTGTACTGATCTTTCAGTTCCCTTAGTCCTTGCTGGCCCACATGCAAGCTAATTCTGAATGTACCTCAGAAATCATTTGTATGCAATGAATCAACTCCAGTTTGGTACAGCTGTTACTTTTGTCTGTATGCTGTCAAGATTAGTATAAAACCATTTGGGTGTTCACCCTCTGTGTGTGTTTCAGGGAGTAAGAGAGAACGAACAAGGCAAAAATCAACATCTGTAACCATACTAAAAGCATGTATGTAGCAGATTTTAAACTTGATTATAAAGCATATTTTAAAAAGATTATAAAGTATGTACTCCTTGCAGAATATACCATCCAAGGAGTTTTTCTGCTGTGCCTTTTGCAACCGGACTTGCCTTTCTCGTATTGGCCTTTTTAGCCACCAACGCACTTGCAAGAAATGTGGGTAGAGCCCTTCCCAAATCTTCGTTCGCGAAGCCTAGCCATGATGATGAAAGTATGTACTAGATTTTAAACTTATTTTCAGGGCACACTGTGTTTAACAGGCTTAGTTAATGCAGAAGCATTGTCATGGCTAAAATGCCTTTTCACAGGTCACCCTTTTTTGCCCTTAGGCATCATAGGACTAAAAGGAGATGATGGAAGGCTCTCTTCTCCCATCTGAAATGATGCTGTGCAAAGTCTTCCTTCACTTCCATTTTTCTTTGTCATGTTCTGTACTCAGACCTGAAAAAAGTCATCCCCCTTTGAAGAATTATATTCACCCATTCCTCAAATTACAAAATTTCTTATCCCTTCCTCCCTCCAGTCAGAAGCTCCACAGCCTTCGCTTAAGTGACAATTCAGGCAGAGTCCCTTTCCCTTAGCTCAGGAGAGCCACAACCCTCCTCTGGTGCCACATGATATCTCCTTTGGGCCACAGTGATTCAGATCAGCTGCAAAACAGCCTACTACAGCCTACTCTGCAGCAGTTAATTTACTTCCTTGTTGAGCAAGTCCCCCACTAAAAGTGAGGGTTAATTCACAAATAGCCTGTCAAAACTAAGAGAAACCTGTTCCAAGGAGAAATGACGGGTTTATGCTTATCACAATTTGCTGCCACTCTTAACACATGTACAGTAACTGGTGCACAGATAAAAATATTGTCTATAATCATGCCAAAGGAGGCTTCTGTGTATCTGTGTGGCTTGTGGTCTGCTGCCTGATACACCCAGCCTCCTGCACAGAAGGGTGTTAGGCTGTCACTGCAATTCTGATGAACAGTGAAAGGTGCTCTGTTCTTCCATTCCTGACTTGAATTTTGCCATTACAAAATTCTCCCAGGGACCTGGGAGCTGCTGTCTTTTGGGCCGTCTAAAGACTGTTGACAGTTTCACATGTGCCAGCCCTCCTTCTAGCTTGAATGAAGAGAGTCAGCAAAGAGTTACTTGATAAGAAAAGGTAAGACTAGAAGTGAATCTAAATTGAAATGATCAAATGTTTTAAAGGGTTCAGAAAATAAAATCAGTTCTGGCAACAGATTCTGATGTAAATCTCAACGGGGAAGAGGACTCAATGGCTTTTTTGAAATCCCCCCCAACCTCTAAAATTTTCACATCAATCTTGATCTATAGTTCTTTCCAATAATACTATGATAAAGGATTTTGTTTTATTTCTTAGCAGTTCTTCATGAGAAATACTGGACCACAGAAGTAAACAGAGGCAAGGGGGAGTTTGGTCTGGCCTGACTGAATATTAAATGCTGTCTCTCCTGACCAAGGACTATACAGAAATGCATATTCTCTGTAAAAATTACACCAACTGTGCTATTACATCTGTACTATACTAAGAATAGATGAAACAGAAGTGTTTCAGATTGCAATCTGTTACTTAATCCCAGATTTTGAGGTGTTATCCAGATCTGTGTAGGAACATCATTAGAAGCATATTAAAGTGTTCTTCATTCAATAGGGTAACCTACTAGTTCTCTGAGGTCTTCTGCCCTAAGGTACTGTCCTCCACCTCCTGTAATTGTGCAATCTGTGGTACCTGGGCAGTTACTAGAACAAAGTAATTACATCCTGCTTTACCTTTCTACAAATATCCCAGCTTGCACTGCATGGACAATACTCCTGAACCGGGGTTTTTCCTCTGTCCTTTTGAGCATCATCCCCATTTGCCGTGTGAAGGTAGAAGCCAACCAGTCACGGACCTCCGAGGGCACAGAGTCAGACTGAATATCACTGAGTTCATCTTCTGTGTCCAGTAAACGCCTAGAAGAGTGAGGAACAATTGGTAAATAGACTCCCTTAGAGACCACTATAACATTATTAAGAAAAAAACCCCTCACATATATTCTAATTAAAGCAGCTGTTAAAAGCCTTTGGTTTATCATCCCAAATCAAACACAATTATATAAATCTTCAATAGTTTGTTTATTCGCTTGTATACTTAAATTTCATTTTGTAAAACTCACTACTAGGCTGACACACAAGAAGTATCAGCCTTCTGAAGCACAGCTACATAATCATTCACTGACTTCACATCTTCAGCTCATCAATATTTCTGAACTTTCTGCCGTTCAGAGGTAAATTATGGTCATTTCTAACTTCTGAGTTAGTAACATACAGTCCTCTCCTTTCCCATTCTGATCATCTGTGGCAACTCCAAAAGTGCATTTGCCACTGAATAAATGGCATATAACAGAAAGAGGAACTCCTCTGCAATGTCTTACCAGTCTACCTCTATCACAACCTGGAGTAAATTTTTTTTTTAATTTCAAAGATACGATACAAGTGAAAAGATTTAACATTATTCAAAAAGAATAAATGAGTAGGAATTTAGAAACTTTCAGAAAAACTGGGACACAATTATTAAGAAAACATTTCTCCATGAGAATGTATATTACATTTATGATTTCTTTTTATCTCCTTCCCTGCCCCACAAAATTTAAAAAAGGATCGAAGATCTGCTCTACACAGAATACAATATTGTAATGATTAAAAACATATTTTCTGGCAGTAATAAATCTCGGCTCAAATTTCCCAATTGACATTTAAGTTACAATTTTGTGTCATTGGTACTAGATATAAGAGTGCTGATGCCTGGAGTTAACTCACCTAGTTTCGTCAATGTATACTGACTCAAGAACAGTCGCAGCATATTCCAAATTCTTCTTTAGGTCTACAACTGAAGCTTCCCCTCTCTCTAATTGCTTTACCAAAGACCGCAATCTAAAAAAAAAGCAAAACAAAAATCTGATTAGTATAAAGAGAAATAGGTTTGACAGTGAGTATCAGTTCCCAGCATGAGACCTAGCATACACGCTTGACAGGTGAAAATTTTGGAAGTCTACAAGTTTCTTGAAGTCACATGCAAGAAATCAACAAAAATCACTTTTCAAAGATCAGTTACAATGATGCCAAGCAAACAGTACAATGTATTTAGGCTCAAATAAGTCTGCGAGTTATCACAGTCATAGAATGAAAGAATATGCTGAGTTGGAAGAGACCCATCAGTATCATCAAGTCCAACTCCTGGCCCTATGCAGGCCACCCCAACAACCACTCCATGTGCCTGAGAGCATTGTCCAAATGCTTCTTGAACTCTGGCATGCTTGAAGCTGTGACCACTTCCTTGGGGAGCCTGTTTCAATGCTCTACCACCCTCTGGGTGAAAAACCCTTTCCTGGTAACTAACCTAAACCTTCCCCAGCTCAGCTTCATGCCATTTCCTCAAGTCGTGTCACTGGTCACATGGGTGAAGAGATTACTTGCCTCTCTGCTTTCCCTCATGAGGACTTTGAATACCGCAATGAGGTCTTCTCTCAGTCTCCTCTTCTCAAGGCTGAACAAACCAAGTGACCTCAGCCACTCGTCATAAGGCTTCACCTCCAGACCCTTCACCATCCTTGTAGCCCTCTTTTGGATGCTCACTAATAGCTTAACGTCTTTTTTATATTGTGGTGCCCAAAACTGCACACAGTACCCAAGGTGAGGTCTCACCAGTGCAGATTAGAGCAGGACAATCACCTGCCTTGACCAGTTGGATGTCCCCTACTCATACTAAAATAATTTAAAATAGAAATCATGTGGAATTAACACAGGAGCTGAGAGGACAATTTCAACCCAGCCATAAGACAGAAGTAACTTTTTGAATAGTATCTGTTAATAAACAATAGCCATTCATAATGATTGACACATACATATGCACAATTGTATTAGAGTATATTCAGGAACATTACCATAGAAATACTATGCAAGGTTAGAAAATGCCATGATTTTCATTAGATCAAGAGGGCACCCTTAGGCTATCCCGTCTATACTAAACAGAACTCATGGAAGTTTTATCAGATTATTATTATTGTTGTAAGGGGGAACAGACTTTTTGAAAACAAAAATTTGTGCAAAAAATGCCTCATCTGTCAAAGACAATGAATATATTTGTGTAATTTTCTTTTCTCTTTTCCTCTTTTTCACTCTACTAAATTTAAAAAAAAAAAAAGAAGAAAGAGGAGAATAAAATCTAAAGGCAAGGAGCAAAATCTAAATATTTTCAAACAATCCAATTTGCATGCTTATTATTACAAGAAGAAAATTATCATTCCGTTAAAAGGAGAAAGGGATAAAGACTTGAGAAGTTAAAACATTTTTGTGAATGTCCTCTTCCTTGTTAAACAGAAGCTAAATAAACATTCAAATATATATTTAACAGTGTAGCAGAAATCATAAGTTGTTAATTTGTCCTGTTCAAGATGCAAAAATGTAGAGGAGTAGTCATGTCACCTATAATTTGTCCTCTAATTAGGAGATTACTCTTCCTCATCTTTTTCTATATTCTGTGGAGTAAAACAGCCTTTTCCACAAAGCAATTCAGAACTAGAGCCCAATATAGGTGTCTGCTTTCACTTTATTAGCTGTAGTAGGAGCCTATCTCCTACAGTAGACATATGCATGAAATTCTTAAAATGAAGTGAGTATCTGTATTTCCTTGCCATTATAGTGCCCCTGTGGCATCTGTGCTTTCAAAAGAAATCAAGTCTCCATGGGGCTGTATTTCATGGAAGAGTTGAAGAGCAGTCAGTCTGCCTGTGAGTACTGCACCAACAGCTCTTTCAGGCTGGGTTTCCTTCCCCCCAGTTTTTCCTAACATAAAGAGTGAGCCTATGGAGAAAAAAAAATCATAAAAAATATCGATCGTTTCTCTGACTAGGTCACATACATGCTACTCCTGCTAAGAGTGGTGCTGCTGGCACACAGCTACATATTTAGATTTACAAACAATCTTGAGCAACAGGCAGAGCTTCCATCTCCAGGAAGATGGATCTCTCATCCACTTGTCAGCAATTGAAAAACAAAAGTATTGTTCAATATTTCATTCCTGATGTGAGAATGGAGATGGGAAGATCAGTGATGTATAGACACACTGAGAACAACTTCTCATCTCTGTAAACCAGGTGGAAAGCATTCAATATATTTCCCTCCAATCCTGAAATCCAGCCCAGAAAATCCATGGCGTAACTTCAGCCTCATGAAAGAAGCATGGTTTGGTGCTCCCATACCCCTCTGCTGTGTAACTGCACCACCATGTGTTAACAGCAACACAAAACCAAATATTTTCTTTGAATGAGCAGAGCCAGGAAATGTACTTCCCCACTTTTCAGGCTGATTCCAGCCTCAGGCAGCACACATGAAAGATGAATTTGCCTCCTCCCTAGAGTCAAATCATTGATCCCTCCTATCTATTCCCAGCTTTTCTTTCCAATACCAGAGGGGAGGAAGAGAAAAAAAATAAAACCACTTTTGCATCCAAACAGTAAGTATTTTTTCATATGGCTCCTTGTTCCTTCATCCCGTGTATGGGGAGTCTGCAGATGTGACCCCTTAACTAGCTACCAGAAATATTGTACACAGGAATCAATATTGCAGGAAGAACACTACCTTTGGCTCTTCCTGACTTTTATTTCATTAATATAAGTATCCAGCAGCTTTATGGCACAAGTCATTCAAAATTCATGATGAATAACAGCACAGTGTTAGTGCTTCATGGCACCAACATTTTTCATTGAAGAAGATTATGCAGAATACTATGTGCATCAATCACTTGGAAGAACAGTACTGTTGCTATAATAAAACCTGTCACACCCTGTGCCACTCTCATGTGAAAAAAACATTACACTGCCTTCATCTTACCATCCATTATCTATAACTGTTGCTGCTCCCTGTACTAAATAAGAGCCTGGCAATCATTTGTCTTTAATGTATTCCATGTATCTCTATTTTTTGAAATAGTCCTAAATGGACTGAAGGGCATCCAGGCAAGTTTATTAACTGAAAAATTCTGTTTCAAGGTGGCTGAAATAATACTCAAGTTCAATGAAATTCACTTAGGAACGTGGCTTAGTGAGGGCTTTGCAGTGCTGGACTTAACAGTTAGTCTCATTTGTGATAAGATTCCTTTGATAGACAGCTCAAACAGCTTTTAAAAAAAAATGAAAATAAATAAATAAAATCAACCACAAGCTTTAGAAATTTACAAAATAATAATCAGAAGTAGACCTAATTGCATAAAAGCCAGCTTCACTGTACACACACAAAAAGACCAAGAGTTGCTTCCAAAGGCTGGAAAGACAAATATCTACTGAACTGAAAGGCAAAACCTTGCCTTCTGACCTATAGTACGTTCCTCACCCTTCTCTGGAAAACCACCATAATTACTGGTAGTAAACTCTTTAACCAGTTTGAGAAACAAATGTTCACTGTGCAATGAACTATATTTCTATCAAAGAATTCCTACACAGAAATAGGTGTGCATCTGTTATCTCACTACAATGTACAAACTCTCATACGAGAGTTAGATAGTATGTGCAGACCAGCTAAGCAGTGAACACACATAAGGCCTGTCAGATGCCCCACAACAGTACCTGTCCACTTGTCGTGGTGTAAAGACACAGCAAAGCAAATACACTGCCCCAAAGTATCCAGAGCAAACGGCATGAGGTTATGTGGTATAATGCACATGTGCAGCAGTTTCCATCAGCTGGGTGAACAGGTGCCTCTACAGTTTTTCAAATCCTTTGAAACCCACTCAAATAGGGGATTGGTGGGAAGGGTACAGCATACACAGAAAGTAATCCAGGAAGCTCACCATCTCTTTTCACAACAGTTAACATGTATTATTCATTCCACAGTCTGCTACATCTTAATCTAAGGCTCTGCATACATGTGTGAACTACCAAGGAAAAGACACAACCTAGAAAGCCAGCTCAAGCAGTAATCCTCAAAATGCAACTGAAAATAGAGTAACTGGTAGCCTGCGACCCAATGCATTTGTATTAGGCTGGATAGTTATCTTCTGTCACTACTATTGAATACAAAAAAATGCAAGTCACAACATTCAGAGGAAGAAAAAACATGTTGTCCTAGTTAAAACAACTGGGACCAGTTCATCACTGTATGGGTGTAACCCAAAACTGTGTATTCTATAGCCTTCCATGCCATTTTCCAGAAACTGTTATCAATAGACCATTTACACTACCTGCCCAGAGCACGCCTGACTCCTCAGGCTATAAACTGGGTGTTAAGAAGCCTGTGAGATAGGAGGAGGCTCCTGTCCTCACACCCATTGTGGAACTCCCCGCCCTGAGGGAGGTACTGGGCATTCCTGCCTGAACTGGAGGATATATATAATCTTGGAGTCTTGGGACTTTTTTAACCACTCATGGGATCCAGACTGCAACCACCACTCTCGACCGGACTGCAATCACCACTCTTGACCAGACTGCAACAGCACTCTCACCAACAGGTTTTTTTTCCCTCTCCTTTTACTTTGGACTCAGGGGGGCCCAATGAACACCACTCTGTTCATGCCCCAGGGTGCTGGATTATACATTTGGGTTTTGTGGGTTAAAACCACTGTTTGTCTATATAATTGTATTTATTGTATTATTTTATTAAATTGTTATTCTGAATTATAATCTCTCCTTTGAGTTGGGTAAACCCCTGCCGGTTTACCTTTAAACCAGCACACATGTGTTTACAAAGAGCAAATACACAGTACTGCTACACTGGAAAAAGCTACATGCAATTTCCCAAGCAACTGTTTTGCCTTATTCATGTTTCCTGAAATATCCTTCTTCCACTGAATAAAAAATTAAAAATTAAAAATTTGAAGCAATCAATTATTTTTTGATTATTTAGAGACATGAAAATGCAACGACATGTTCAGTGGCCTT